TAAGAAAGGGAAAACCATTGAAACAACAATCAACAATCAATGATATCCAAATGCCAAATTAAAACACAATAATTTCCAAAATACGAAGATAATATTATTTTTGGTTGGGAGATCTTTAGTACTGATATAGATATACCACCGTATATTTTATACGGAGTCCGATCATGGCCCGATCGTCTAGGACATCTCACCCGAAGATATCAACCACAATCACAATTACTATCACAAATTTCAATCATTATCTCAATTAAAATCTCAACCACAATCACCACCATGTGTGTGGCTAGGCCGTCTCACCACAATGCCGTGTGGATCGACATTACCCTTTTCTAGCAATCATCTCATCCCAAATAAGGAGAATAATATCATCACATCAATCTCATCCCAATTAAGGGGAATAATTTTATCATATCAATACGGAGATTTACCCCTCAATCACTTCTACACCGGCACGTGTAGTTTCGGGATTAGGTTATTACCTACCCTTCCTCGGTGACTAACGATACTCCCAAAAATATTTTTGATTTGCATACAAAGGAAACATCAATACAAATGCATTTACCTCATAACATTTCATACCGTATATAGCCTCATTCATACTTTCAACCACTTACAACATCATTATTTCATTGGCTCTCTTGGCCATACATATAATTCTTCATTCATGGCACAATGACCGTATTTCATATTCCACACTTTCATTTCTTTCCTTTCATGAATCATCATAAAAAATATCAACAAATAGAATATTCCGGAAATCACAACTTTAGGTTCATTAGTAATGAAGACTTCAAACACAATGGATTTCTTTTCAAGAAATGGAGTAAAATGATTGGCAATCGAAGCACAAGTTAAAATCAAAAACGAGTAACACATCATTTATTCTTGAAATACTTTTCCCCAAAAGGGCAATACACAATTTCAACTCATGAATATGTAAAAGCTTAAAACACATTGGAAATACTTACAAAGCATAGTATTAGTTAAAACAGCCACATTGGGGCACGACTTGAGGACATAAGATTTTAGGCAAATCTATTTTCGAGGTCCATTTGGAACAGTTGAACCAAGGCTAATTTCATAACCTTTCTCACATCCTTTCATTTAATTGGCACTATTAGCCATAAGTATAACTTTCATTATCGGCACGGTGGCCACACATTACATCTTCAACCCACTTCTTTCACTTTCCAGCATCTTTATAGATTATCAACAACAAGGTATTTCAAATCAAGACTTTAGGTATACTTATGAGCAATTAAGAGTCTTAATCACATCGAGTTTTTCTCCCACAATTTGATATCATAACTTTTATTTGAAACACGACTCAAAGCCATAATATTTTAATATACATATCATTCTTGGACACATTCCCGAAGGATAACATAATGTGATAGGAATATTCGGAACACATTTTAAATACATAATTCTCGACACTTTGTTTACTCAGGACAATCGAATTTATTGGGAACAACTCAGAACATGGGAATAAGAAACTTGAGCCAACAATATTTGAAACTTACGGGAACATCATGAAATTCAATTCTAAGAGAGTAGTTTAGCCAACGTACCTCTCTTGAGCTTGCTTTAGATTACTACAATATTCTGAAAATCCTAGCGACTTCGATCTATTTAGAAACATAAAAAAATTGAACACAAATTAGGAAGATATTCATGGTTTCAGCTCATCTGAGCATTTTATCAAACACTAGGTATGCATCATAATTGCAAGGTTCTTCTAGGGTGTATTCCTTCATCCCACAACCCAATCTTTACCCATTTGAGCTCAACAATCTTCCCACAAACCTTATTGGTACATGCATGTATAAATAATACTCTCACACCCAAGAATCATGCTCCTAATAAATCATCTTCTACCCAAATTCAAAATTGAAAACTATGGTATGGAACCTTACCTCTTATATGAAGACCTTGTGAGCTTTTTTGTTGAATTTCAAGGCTTGAGCAAGATTTTGATGAATAATTAGCTTAGGGATTTCTCTTCTAACTCTAGGGCACTTTCTCTCTCTAAAAATATCAGATATTCCCTTAAAGAATGGTCCCTTACGTCTATTTATCGAGATAGGGTCGGGTTATAAAGATAAAAGAATAGATCCTCCGAAATACGGACCGGGCTTCAGACCAGGCTAGGCACACTCCGGCCAGGCTTCGCGAGGGATATAGCACGGTCTAGCGTACTACAGACCAGGCTTCGCGAGGGATATAGCATGGTCTAGCGCGCTATGAGCTGGGCGATGCGAGGTCGAAATGATTCAACTCCCCAATGAACTGTTCAACCCAAAAAGTCTGAAAATACAATACATTAGCCTACATAGGCGCCACAGAACCTTAAATTACTTGCCAAAAATTTACGGGGCCTTACAAAGCCTCACTAATACATCATTAGAGCATAGTAAGTAAAGTTTTAAAAATGATAAAAAGTTTATACCTGCTATTTGGATTCGAACTCCCGACCTTGAATAGAGAATTGTAACGGTTAACCAGAAGACTACTGAGCTGTTCGCTTAAGAGGTGTCACTTATACATTTTTATACGAACTATTCATTTTGCTTATTGGTCTCGTCCAAGTCACACCTCTATTTAAGGTTATGAAATGGTCGATGCAATAGTAATACCCAACAAGGAGCCAGGGTCGATTTTTTACAGGGAGCAATGAATGGGACTTAGGGGTATATATTATAGTGTATGAGCTTGAAATATCTCAAATTGCACTTCCACAAACTTGGGTTATTTCTAGATTAATTTAAGCTAAAATTACAAACTAAGAATTGAAACTAGGAAATTATTTTTGTTGTTGTTTTTCAAATAATATAAAAGGCCTAGGGCTATGACCTTCACCTAGGTGTTTGCCTAAAGGGTTATAAACTTTAAAGTTTATTTTATTGGTCGGGGTGTATTATAGCTATCAACACTCGAGTACCCACTCAATACCTCTCGGTCAGAGAGTGATTTTGCCCAATTTGGCTTTCTCAAGTCCAAATAGGTATTGAACAAAACAGTTGAGACAAGGTTCAAGTCGGGTTTTACTATCTCTAGGTTCAACCCATTAATTGGGACTATCAATCTCTCGATTTACCCAATTTCTTGTTAGCCAAGTTTTCCTAGACTAAGTCTCTCTTTCTCAAGTAGAGACCAAGTCAAATAGGCATGAACTAATGTTTATAACCATTAGTTCTACAATTAAAAGCAAGAACAAGGCTAAATAATAAACACCCAACTATAAACAAGCAATAAATTAAACACCCATTAAGATTACACTCTAGGGTTGGGTCACAACCCTAGTAAAAATCTAACTACTCATGCTTAATGCTTAAGATAGAATAAATATAAGAAGAAATGATAATTAAACCTATATTGATAATTAAAATAATGAAATCAATATTCAAAAAGCTCAAAATAGCAAAAACTACTAAAAAAAGTACAAGAAACCGTCTACTGTAGCAGCTGATGTCAAAACTTGACCTAAAAAGTGAAACTCTTCTATTTATACAGTGTTGAAATTTTCGGACAAAAATGCCGTTTCGGAGGTTATGCAGCCGCACAATTCCATGTGCGGTCCGCACTTTGCTTCAGCCTGACAGGATTGGAAACCTACGGCCGCACAATTCTGAATTGAGGCCGCACTTCTTTCTTTCTGCAGACAGCACAAATATGTCTACGGCCGCACTATGCTCTTCTGCGGTCCGCACAAATGTGGTTGCGGCCGCATCATGCTCTTTTGCAGCCACACAATAATTGTGCGGTCCACACTCTTGTTGAACTTGAGATGCATGTTCTCTGAACTTTGGCTTTTACCCAATTTCTACGGCCGCACAATTTCATATGCGGTCTGTATCTTGCAACCTTTTCTCATGGAATTGCTTCATGACCTGCGGCGGCAGATGGTATTCTGCGGACAGCACTTTGAGCTTTTGTGCTGTTTTTATCCTTAAGTTCAGATTACTCCTTCTTGAAGTGGATTTCATCTTTGGAGCTCATCTTCCAATAATCCTGCAATTAAGCATAATTATCAGTTTTCGGAAACACAATTAAGCACTTTTGGACTAAAACGAAAGCAAAAAAGGTGCTAATAAGTAGTCAAAATCTCCACTTATCACTTATATCTGTATATACCCATATAGTAAAACTTTCCGATGAAGCGGTGTCACGTAACACCGCTTCCCATAAGGTGGTTCCGCAAAGCTACAAATACAGACGATTTATTGCTTTGTCAATAACAATTATAAATAGTCTATACGTAATTATCTATATTTTCGTAGAAAGTAAATTGTCTTCAACTATGTAATAGGTCCCTCTCTAAATTGTTAAATTATAGTCCATTCGGTCCACTTTAATTGATTTTTTGGTCCTTTTTTGTGGTCCATAATATTTAATTTTTTTAGATATCAAGGAGTTAACTTCTTTTTTTCAAAGTTGCACTTGAAGTAAAGAGCCTAGGAGTATTTGTTATATTTTCAATAAACAAATTAAGGTTAATATGGTCAATTTCTTTGTTAATTAATGCTAAAAGTTGAATTCCTTAATATGTGTGAAAATAACCAAAAAATCAATTAAAGTGGATCGGATGGAGTAACCTTAATGTTTGACTTGACCATAATAAAATAATACTCCATCCGTTCCAATTTATGTGAACTTGTTTGATTGAGAAAAAATAAAGACTTTTGAAATTTGCAGAAAGGGGTCCATAATATTTATATGGTTATTAAAGCTTCTCATTAAGGGCAGAATTGAAAGTTTAAGCTAAATTGTTTTCAAATTTAGAAGGGAGTCATTCTTTTTTAAACGAACGAAAAATGAAATAAGTTCACCAAAATTGGAAACGATGACGGGTGCGGGAAATTGTTACCCTATGACCACATCATCGCTGGAATCACATTGTTTTTTCTTAAAATAGAAAACCTAGGGCGTCATTCTACACGCCATCAACATCTTCTTCTAAGCTGTATTAGCTATTTTGTCAACAAACGTTTTCTTATAAAAAGAAAATTCCTTGCTCTGAACAATAGTTAATATCTATTTCATCGTGCCGACTTCTAGGCCATTCTCACCTTAAATATATAAACCATCTCCTGAAAACCTTCCCTCTTTGTGAAAAAAGCCATGGAAGAGAAATTAGAACAAGTCTCTCTAACTTCATTATTCCAAGAGGACGAAACTGCTCATCTCCTTCAGTCATGGGAGAGATATGTGGAAGAAGTAGAAGAGATCATAGGGTACAAATTCAAGAATTCTAATTTGCTATATCAAGCTTTTACGCATTCTTCTTTCCAACAAAACTGCTGTGATTCATACGAAAGGCTTGAATACGTGGGCGACTCTGTGCTAAATCTGCTAATAGCAAAAGAGCATTACTTTCTTCACCCTGATCTGCCTCCGGGAAAGTTGACACGGCTGCGAGCCGCCAACGTTGATACAGAAAAACTCGCTAGGGTAGCCGTCAAATACGACTTTCATAAATATTTACGCCACAAGAAACCTCTACTTAAGGGACAAGTAAGTGCTGTTATTTTGTTTTATGTCCGTGAGTCCATGCTTTATTCTTTTTATTTGTTGTTTCAAAATTTTGAAAAATAAGAAGAAGAAGAAAAAAGTATTTTGTGATACTTTTTGTTTTCCGAGATTTGAACTTCTTACTATTGATCATGTATTTAAACATAGGATGTTTAAGTTTTAAAAAATAAAATTTATATATTTAAAAATTAAATAATAGAATTATTTTGACTCTCAAAATCCTAACAACTCCATACAAATTGAGACGGAGAGAATAACATTTTCTATTCATCACACCCCACCCCATCATCTAGTGTTTCCACTTAACCTCCACCATGACTCGAAGTCTCAATCTATTACTTATTGAGACCTATTACTTAGTAATGAAAATCTTTGATCTGGTTTGGTCTTTTTATTTGTTGTTTCAAAATATTGAGTAAAAAAAGAGAAAAAAGTATGAATGAAAATTGAAAATTTTAGGTTGCGTCTACTAGTATTTGTTATATTAAAAAAATGTTTTGAATTGCATTTATTATTTGTAACTGATAAAAAGGTAATAACTCTTTTTTATGGTGGAGAGGAGAAGATTGGGTAAGGAAGTAAAGAGCAAAAAGAATATTATAGCTGTACATTGTTCAGTGACATTTTTCACTAATGAGTTACCTATTTAACGTGATATTTAGTGTTAATCTTATAAATTGATTTTGGGTTGATAAACTTCGCGATAGACATTTCGATTCCAAGGGTTTCTTTTTGGTATTAGTTTCCATGAAGTATTTAATACTAAATGCCATAAGTAACAAAAATCTTGGTTTTTTTGGTCCATAGGCCGAAAATGGTGGAAATCTTTTATATTCTACTTCTTGACGCGGTCTAAACTTTAATGTCGTTCTAGAGAAACCGGACAAGTCCATGAGGAAAATATGTATTATCTCAAAGTTTCAAGAATCATAAAGATAAAGTATTTGTCAGAACTGATAGAAAAAACTAGGTAGGCACGAATGAATTTAAAACTTGCCCAATGTTTCAGTATAGCTGGTTGGATTAAATTTTAATGACCTCAAACGTTTTTAATTCCAATAGCACATGCATTTTGTTTCCATCCATTTTCAATTTTTCAGTAAACTGAATACGTGCTTTATAATCTTGATCTGCTGTAGATGAAAAACTTTCTGGATGACTTTATGACTGGTGAAAAACATAATAACTGCCATCTGTAGTGTATCTTTATGCCTGAATTGTAAAAGTCCGTGTTCTTTGATATCATCCGCTACTCACTAAAATAATACTCCCTCCGTTTCAGTTTATGTGAACCATTTCCTTTTTAGTCCGTGCCAAAAAGAATGACCACTTTCCTTATTTGGAAACAATTTACCTTTATGCAATGATTTATAGTCACACAAAATATATTTGCCTCATTTTACACCACAAATTCAAAAGTTTTCTCTCTTTTCTTAAATTCCATGTCCAGTCAAATGGGTTCACATAAATTGAAACGGAGGGAGTAAGTACTATCACGACATATGTATGTCAGTCGGTCTAGAGTAGTGTCATCCGCAGGGGCGGAGCTAGAAATATTAGTTGTGGGTTAGAAATCCAGTAGTTTTTGCTTAAATCTTATATTTATATTAAAAACTTAATTAAATATGTATAAATATTTAATTACGAACTCATTAGATAAACGAACTGTGAATTTGGTAACAATAACTATAAACTTCAAATTCTGACTTTGTCTCTTTCATTTGTACCATTGCACTCCCTACTGTTTTACGCTTTCTCTCTCTCTCTATATATATNGATATAAGTTTGCTTACAAGTTTACTATTTCTATAGGTGGAAGAATTCAGAGATGCAACTTTAGAGTATCCTTTGCATTCAACAGGCCTCATTGATCCCCCAAAGGTGCTGGCTGATATAGTTGAATCACTCATTGGTGCCATTTATATTGATTGCGATTTCTCCATGGATACAACTTGGCAGGTGCTTTGTTGCTTCACTTTGAATGTTTATATTTATTGAGCAAGTATCATTTATAGCCACTCGGGCCAAACCTATAACATCCAGTAGCCCAAAATTAAAATACACATTTTATAGCCCAAAAGTAATTCTAGTGGCTAGCCCAAAAGTACTGCTTTCTGCTCTTCCAATTGAAGCTCCAGCTCCCTTTCCAGTACTGCTCTCTCTTCCTCCTCCTCCGCCATTTCTCGGAATTAGAGCTACCTTCGCCAGGCGGTTCAATTATATAAATTTATCCAACAAAGAATGAATTAGACCTTCTTGTAATTTTCTACAACGAAATTAAATAAGATAATGTCTAAAACATCTTTGCTCAACTTTGTCTTAATGCTTCAAAGTCACGAAATTATTTTTCATGACAAAAATTTGTTTAGTTATTTTTTTATTGCAAAGAAATATTTAGTGCATTTCAATGTGATTCTTAGGTAAATTTATTACTTTTACATTATAAAAAATAATTTAATAATATATTTTAAAATTTTAATACGGTACTAAAATACTTATTTTTGGGGTAATTTGATTAAATGACCTTGCAAATTTACAAAGAAAGGATATGCCAACTGTAAATGGATGTTTAGGTGGCTGCATAAAAATGTATGTCTTAAGCTCACTTTTTTTTTTTGGTTAAAACTGTAAAGTATTATCATACACAACCAAATATTTACAGCTAAAGAGCACTGTAGAGAATTTAACCACCTTCTAAGAAGGGTGTTAACATCTCCAAAGCCTCAAACGGGAAGAAACACGTATTTTCAAGAATTCAAGGGCTGTTGAATTTGTTTTAAAAGTGGAAATGGAAAATCATTAGCTAAAGAGAGAGGGGCAACCACCATTTGAATAAAAAACCCAAGCTCTCTGTTATTGCCTAGTTTTTTTTTTTCTGGGCTAATTTTCTTTGCTAGGGAAATCCTTTGGTTTTCACCAAATAAATTTTCATTTCCACATGTATGTCATTAGTTGATTTGGATGGGAATCATAATTTCAGGCCCACCATTAGTATATATTTATATGGATATTTATGTATTTGTTTCGGTGAAAATAGATTTGAATATTGGTATATTATAAAATATACACAAAATAGACTATCACTATAAAAAAATTATACAAAATAGACTGTCACTATATAATTTATATACAATAGACTGTCACTATACAAAACATATACAAAAATAAACTGTCATTATACAAAAAAATATACTAAATAGAATATCACTATACAAAATTTATACAAAATAGACTGTCACTATACAAAACATATACAAAAATAAACTGTCATTATACAAAAAAATATACTAAATAGAATATCACTATACAAAATTTATACAAAATAGACTGTCACTATACAAAATATATACTAAATAGACTGTTACTATACAAAATATATATAAAATAGACTGTCAATGTACAAAATATATACAAAACAGACTGTCACTATACAAAAAATATACAAAATAGATATTTTGGGCTATTAGATGCAATAAGTTTGGGCCGAGGGGCCATTTCATGTCAGTGGAAAAAACATGGGCTATTAAAATTTTGAGGGGCTATAGAGGGTAGTTTTCTCATATTTATTTGTGGATTAACAGTATAGCTAGGGGTGGTGTAGTATTATGAAAGCCGATGTACATGCATGTCCGTACTTACTCGACTTTATATTACTTGCATACATACATACTGTTATGCGGCGCTATCTAAGATGTCTGGGAAGAGCAACGTAAGGTAAAGCAATCAATTTTCGTGTGATTACTTTCCGCCAACCGAAGGCCCCCTCCGTGTGCTAGACTAAACTGTTAGTGCAGTGCGGAAAAGCCAATGCCAAGATCACAATTTGCAACTAGAATTGAAAAGAGAATTGAACGAAAGCTTGCTTACATTAACAGAGAACAACGATTACAAGAAAGCTAACGTGGTGCCCATGGGGAGGAAACACCAGTACATAGATTTGATTGCTTGTAGGGAAAAAAAAAGATCTTTTTTTTTTTTAGATTCGAAATTCTTCGTTTTTTTCTCCCAATTTCTAGAAAACTTCACCGACTATACATCCCTTATATATGTCTTAAAAATAAAAAACCTAATTTACATGAGAAGAAATAAATAAGCTAGAATATTATAATTAAAATACAAGAAGTAAAACTACTATACTTACATGAAAAAGGACCTAGACTTATACAAAGGGAAATCTGGTCCAGTGTGTGGCACTTATAGGGGCGACGTCCTTTTTAATAACATCAATCAGTATGTGCTGCATGAAGGGCATGGGCGCGCGGGCACTGGCTACGGGCAAACACTGAGGGCACTCTCTGCTGACGGGCACTTGTGGGCATTACCTACTGCTGGGCATGGGTGGGGGCTACTAGTCAAAAAATATAGGCACCGACGCACTTGTTGCTTGGTGCAGATAAGACCACAGGGTCATCCCTGACACTTGGTGCTGGGAGTCTTGACTGGGAGTCATGGGTCACAGTCAAGGGGTCATGGGGCAAGGCTGGAAAGCAGTCCATGACATTCTCCCCCACCTGATTTGGCGATGTCTTCGGCGCTTTCCTTGCAAGATAGTCATCGATCATGTCCTTGATTGCTGAGGTCTTTTAACCTCTCCCATGTGTTCTCCTCGGCATCACATCCTCTCTATTTCATCAGGAATTCCTGGTGATCTTTTTGCGAGGCATGAATCATCTGATCATCAAGTATAGCTTCGACAACTCTCTACTCGGCTGATTTGTTTTCTCGGATAGCAGGTATAGTGAACTGGCTCCTCGAGGAATCATCCTTGTCTTCCTGAAAGGTTTCAGTAAACTAATATGGAAAACAAGGTGGATCTTTCATCAAGATGGGATATCAATACAGTATGCTACCTTCTTAATGCGATTCGCAATGGACAAAAGTCCAACATATTTTTGCAATAGGCGAGGGTTGTTAGTCCCCACAAACAGGTATTGCTTTGGTATTTTCACCATCACTTTGTCCCCCAACTTGGATTTTTCATGAAGTGGCAATTCTGATTAGCATACTTCTTCTCCGCTTATGGGCTTTCTTAAGATAGCTCCCCTATATCTCCAGGTTTTGCTTCCATTCCTTCGAGAAGCTGGCAGCTCTAGGAGATTTTGATACATTTGGGGAATCTGCTATTAGAGGAGTGATTGATACCGGTAACAATTTTAAAAGTGTTATTGTTGGTACTCAAGCTATTTTGGGCATTGAAATACAATTGAGCAGCATCCAAGACCTTCACCCAATTTGTCGGCGAGCCAATAACAAAGTGTCGAAGGTACTCCTCCAACATGCCATTAAAATGTTCTGTCTGGTCGTTAGATTGGGGATGGAAACTCGAACTATGGCTCAACATGGAGCCGAGATATTTGAAGATCTTGGTCTAAAAGTTGCTAATAAAGCGAGAATCACGATCACTAATAATATCTCTAGGCATCCCCCAATATTTCACAATATGAGTAAAGAAGAATCGAGCCATCTCTTCAGAAGATACATACTTTGGGGCCACAATAAAAGTATCATATTTAGAAAATCGATCCACCACGACAAGAATAGTAGTGAGATCTCTCATCTTGGCAAGTCGGTATTGAAATCTAATGAGACACTTTCCCAAAGGCCTCTTTGGGACAGGCAAGGGCTCCAAAAGGCTCGCTTGGTCAAGTGATTGGACTTGTCTTTCTAACACACCAATCAAGTCCTCATATATTGAGCAACATCATCTTCCATCCAATAATAAGCACGACGCAGCATCGTCATAGTCAGTTCCTCTCTAGGGTGGCCCGCCAAAAAGTATCGTGACACTTCTTCAGAATGATTCTCCATAGATCACCTCTCTAAGAACATAGAGGCGGTTCCCTTTTGCTCTAAGAAACTCATCATCCATGTAGAACTGTCGAGTCTTGCCATGATCCGCAAGGCTGATCAAATACTAGGCAGTAGGGTCTTTGCTAAGTAGCTCGCATATCTGATCCTTTATAATAGTGGCCACTTCGCTTCCTTGAGGGTGATGAGTAGGCACACCGATGCTAAGTCTACTCTCCCACTTAATACATCAGCAACTTGGTTGGTTTTTTCACTTTTGTACTCCAAATTAAATTTATAATCGGTGAGACGTTCCTGCCATCTAGCCTGTCGACCGTTAAACTTTGGTTGGGTCATAAACTGACTGATAGTTGTGTTGTCCTTCTTCACAATGAATGGGGTACCCAACAAGTAGTGCCTCTAAATGCATAGATAATGGATGACAGCCAGCAACACTTTCTCGTTTGTGACATAGCACCGCTCAACATCCTTCAGCTTTTGACTTTCGTAAGCAACGGGATGGCCATTGTGCAGCAAAACTCCGCTTAAAGGACTGGTTAAATTAGGAAGGGTCAGTACCTGACTGCTAAACGTAGCCATTTTCAAAGCATCAAAGGCCTATTGCCGCTTGGGATACCAATCCCAAGATGTGGCCTTCTTTAAGAACTTTTTCAGCAGCGCAACAATGAGGGAGTAGTTCCTCACGAACCGGTGATAGAAGTTGCATAGGCCAAGGAACACCCTCAGGGCATGGATATCCTTAGATAACGGCTAGTCCATGATAGCCTGGACCTTCTACTGGTCCATCTTGATCTGCCCCTTCTTAATGACATGACTAAGAAAATTAATCTAGTTTTGCGTTTTAGGCAAATGAGTAGTTAAAAAGCTTCAAATACAATTCATGCTCCGTTAGTTGAGCTAGGACCATCCGCAAATAATCAAGGTGCTCCGGCAATGTCCTTCTATGTACTATAATAGCATTCAGGTAGACCACCACAAACTCGTCTATATATTCCCGAAAGACTTGATTCATTATGGTGCAAAATATAGGGGAGCACTCATCAAGCCAAATGGCATGACCAAGAAGTCAAACGACCCATACCGTGTCACGCATGTCATTTTATGTTCATCACCCTCAACAATCCTCACTTGCCAATGTTCTATCTTCAGAT